GAAAACTTGCCAGCTAAATTTTGTGCAAGTACTAGTAGATTTACATCGGATTTGTTACTTGAGTTTTAACAATAACTGATAGCAGAGAAAATAATCTGTTACTGATAAAAACTAAAAAAAAAACTATTGTGTTTACTTCCTTTATTCTTTATGCATTCAACTTTCTATTCTATGTAATTCCAAATTCAGACATGTCCGTGTAATCTTTTTCTGTACTTCTACACTACTGCATCAGACCATTTGTGAAAGGCGGGTCAAGATACATTATTTCGCGCCAAACGTCACGAGTAAATCATCGCGCCTTTTCTTTGGAATGTGTCTTCAATTGAATAAGAGTACGTGATAGCTTCAATGAAATTTTTAAAAATATGTTGCTGTAGCCTGATTTTCGAGTCTAAGAATGTATATTTATCACACTGTACATATTACATATCGTATACGGGCAAGTAACATAAAGGCAGCACTAAGTTTTCTTACACATTTTATATTCCTCTTTACCCCCAAAGTGGATTATTCCAATTAGTAACACATTAATGAAAAGACTGGAATGTTTCGCAACAAAACACGTCTCGCCATATGACGCTCAAGGAATCTGATACCTATTATGTTCTGTAACTTGCATCTATAAATAATATTGCCCTACTAAAATCAAAGAAAAATATCATTGAAGTTTATTTTTCTCTCATTTGAAATTGCTATATATGTTATTCAATCAACATGAGAAAGTAACAAATTCTACTTTCAAAATACAATTCCGCAACTCTCCAATTTATGATACAATTGCATAGGTATCTAGCTACATATACATTTGCACCAACATGTTTTCCTCATTTTGTCATATCACAATTGCATCTATGCACATTAATTAGTGCAAAATTAAACTGCAAACTCTTTATGAGGGAGTAAAAAGACATGCTGATATTGTGCCGTCAAACACCGCTGCTCTGACGTCTAAAGACATAGCCCCCCCCCCCCCCCTTAAGATAAAATCTTATATTTGAGCCCCAAAAAGTGAGAAAAAATTCGGAAATTCTTTGGATTGAATCCAGATCGCCCACTAGAAAATTCAACATGCTAACCATTACACTATCAAACACCGTCTCTTAAAATTGAAAAATGATAAATATTCAGAGTATGGGTTAATCAATTCTTAAACAAACTACATATTTAGCATTCTTGTAAAACTCTTTATTAAGCCTATCAACATCATAAAAAAATATTGAAAAACAAAAAAGTTCAAAAAATTACCCTTTTTAAATCACTTCCTGTGACGACCGGAAGTTACGACGACACACGAAATGTTTCCATCACACATCTACAAACCAAATTCTATCATACCTGAAAGTTTCAGACTCCTACCTTTAACAGTTTCTGAGAACATTCATGGACTAGATTTTTAGTGGAAAAAGTGAAAAATCGTAATAATTCCCGACCGGAAGTAAATTTTTCCAAACTTTTTCAATATTTCAAAATGGCATGAGATAACAAATCATTCCTGAAAATTTGGCTGAAAATGAATGAGTAGTTTTTGAGATATCGCGATTTGAAAAGGTCAGAAAAATAAAAATGAAAAATAATTTAATAATAATAATAATAATAATAATAATAATAAGAAACAGTAGAATCACTATAGGTCTTCCGTTGAAAACGGAAGACCTAATAATAATAAACAGTACAATCACTATAAGGTCTTCCGACTGAAACGGAAGACCTTAATAATAATAAGAAACAGAGTAAAAACAATATGTTCCCAAACTTCGTTTGGGGAACATAATAACATATTATAGACAGAACATATGCATTTCTAAACTTTTTCGTATTTACAAAAACAATACAAAATCTTTTTCTTTTTAATTTATGTGAGGTATGCCCCGTAATTTCCACTGTGGTAGTCCGTGCTTAGAGATTGGAATCGAACTAAAAGTAAAAATTTCGATTTGGCCACACCCCTCGAACAAAATTAAAATATGCTCTACTTATTCGTATTTTAATTCTTTTTTTAATGGTATAGATTTAATTTTGTTCGAAGGGTGTGGCCACAGCAAAAAATTGAACTAAAGACGGAAAAAATGCTTTATTTTGATAAAAAGTATGAAAGTGCACGTGTTTAGACGTTTTCTGTACAAATATGACGTCATCAAATAAAAAAATCTGCATACACTTTTTAAGTTTGATACTTAAGGATAATATTTCTATTGTTAATTTTCTTCTTCCCCTCAGTTTAATTTTCCTGAAAAAATAGGCCGATTTAGCCCCTTCGTGGATTTAGCTCTTTGTCCGTTGTCTGTCGTCTTTGGCGTTGTCGTTATCTTTTCACAATTTCATCTTCTTCTCCAGAACCACTGGACCAATTTCAACCAAACTTGGCACAGAGTATCCTTGGGTGAAGGGGATTCAAGTTTCTTCAAATGAAGGGCCACGCTCTCTTCCAAGGGGAGATAATTACAAAATAATGAAAAATTAATGGTATCTTTTAAAAATCTCGAGAACCATTGGGACATGAAAGATGGAAATCATGTGAAATCATTGTCAGGGAGTGCAGATTCAAATTTGTTCAAATCATGACCCCCGGGGGTAAGGTGGGGCCACAACAGACGATCAAAGTTTTACACAGGAGTATTTAGGAAAATTTTTAAAATCTTCTCAAGAACAGCAAAGCCATGATTGGTCATATTTATATGGAACCATCCTCAGGTCGTGTAGATTCAAGTTTGTGCAAATCATGACCCCCGAGGGTAGGGTGGGGCCACAATAGGGATTCAAAGTTTTACATTGAAATATATAAGAAAAATCTTCTCAAGAACAGCAAAGCCTGGCTGTCCTCATTGGTTATTACCTATTCAGATGTATCCTAAGGTAGTGTAGATTCATGATTGAAAAAAAAAATCATGAAGCATCCTCAGATGGTGTAGATTTAGATTGGTTCAAACAATGACCCCCAGGGGTGGGGTGGGACCATAATGAAAGTTCAAACTTGTAGGGGAAAAAAGTCACAGACAAAGAAATATGTAAGCATCTTTAGTTAGTGTAGATTCAATTTTGTTCAAATCATACCCCCCCCCCCCCCCGTCCCTTTTTAGGGGTAGGTCGGGACCACCTATGTATCAAAACTTTTCAATACTGAATTGATTTTTGATTTTTTTCCTAGCCACAGTGCTCAGGTGACCGCGAAGATTCTTGCAAGTTATCACGTCCTTCCAAGTGGGCTATATTTCTTCTAAACACCTTTTTCTTTTATTTACATCTTTAACTGTACTAAGAATACTCTTCTGATGAAAGTGTAATGTTAGATCTATAGTGTTTGAAACAATTTCTTAAACTGATTTAACTAATATATTATGCCTCAAAATTTATTAAGATACGAAAGTTCTACGAACATTAATGAAACCCACTCTCTCCAATAAAGATTTAAAATAGATCGACAATATTATGTCGCTGCACAAAGCGACATAATATTGTCGGTGCGGATCAAAGATCTTATTTTAATCAGATTACTCTCTCTCTCTCTCTCTCTCATATCTGTTGCAAGAAACTATCACTGGCTGCATGTATATTGAATAAAAGGGAGAATGGTATACAGAACCTATATATCCAAAACTTGTCAAAAGTTTATAAATACACTGTGTTGTATTAGATTTCAGTCTGATTTCTCAATTTAAATTTTCAACTTCGAGTTAATATATTTACGACGAAACTTTTATTAAATATAAATTGTTTATTGATTTTTATTTGAAATTTGAAAAAGTACTTTGCAATATATGTGCATTTTACAGTTGTTTTCAGTGCCATGAGCTTCTTTTTTTTTTACTAGTACTAAGAATTTATACAAGCTTTATTAAAGTTTGTATACACAGCTTGCAATCAAGACTGAATATATGTCCTGTGTTTTAACATGTTTTTTTATATTAAAATAAACAGATTTTTGAAAGAAGATCAACTTCTGAAAAAAAGTTAATGAAATGCTATGTAATCATCACAATAAGCTATTTGAGAATAAATAAAAATAACTTTTAAGATAAAAAGTGGTAAAAGACTTAAGTGACCAGTGGCGGATTTAAGGGGGGCGCCCCCGGCGCCCCCCCCCCCCCCTAAAATTGTCAAAGTTAGCATAAATCATAGATGTAAAAATTTCCACTCGGTAGACCTCATTTTTACCCTACAAAATCTCTAGAATCCAGGAGCTTCCGGGGGGTTCGCCCCCTGTGCCCCCACTGGGGGCCTCAAGGCGGCCCCCAGACCCCCTGCCTACTTTTGGCGCCCCCTCTAACTTCAATTCCTAGACTTGCCTGTCTGATATGCGCGATACCAGTCTATTCAATTCCTGGATCCGCGCCTGGTGACAATAGCATCCAGTTGCTGTTTTCTTGTGAACGAGTGTTCCTCATTCTATAGCTAGTTCTCTGCACCACATGGAACAGAATCGGTTTAACGACACTTTAAAGGAGTATACTTTCTTCTTCTATTATGGAGTGAACTCACGCATAAGTGTTAACAAATCAAACCACTTTGAGGTGCAACCCATGCACTGAAAGAATAAAACTATTTACAGTTAATGGTTTAAATTAGATTTCCATCCCATTTCCGAGCCTCTGGTCTGACTCGGAAATCTTCTAAAGATTCGGCGCTGGTAATGTACTTCGGTAGGGCTTTCCAATCAAGAATGATGGACATTGGTTGACATCTTTCCTAGTCCTCTGTTGCCAGATCCGGTGTCCTCGACGCGTTCTGATAATTATTTTTTTTATTTTCTTGCTTTCCAAAGAAAGCGGGGGTATATTCAATGACGGATATATAAAGTAAGGTTATTTTTACTGACAAACATACATAAATACGCTGTATTACAAAGTAACTGTGTTAGCCAAATTAAATTCTGCTTAATACGCTATAAATCGGAATTATATATTCTACCGTTTCCAATTTTTATTTAGACTTTATTCACTCCGAACTCCTCGGGAGTTTTAATTTTCCCGCGTATTTCAAAATGTAAATATTATGATTTGACCCGTTTTAGAGGAAATACTGGATTTCCCGTGAGATTGACAGTAATCTCATAATCATGGACGATTCTGTATTAATGCCATATAATAAAATACCACAATATCAGCTTGCTACCGTGTTGGTAAGTAGTTTTTGACTGGATACATTATCATACTCGAATTTCCTCGATGCAACTTTACTAGTGTAAAGCAGAGTAAAGGCCACCTAGTCAAAGATATTCAGCTGTATCTCATAGCTGTAGTGACAATCTCATTGTAAAGTCAGATGAAGGTGAGTGGAAAAGTCTTGCCTCCGCTTCTAAACAGTCGTCTAAACTACATATACTGCACTATACCAAACAGCCAGAGATCAGTTGAAGATTATTCAGGAACAGAACAGGTCCAGTCTAAAGACTATTTCTACCTACGTAGCTATTCATAGCTACCTACGTATTTAAACCTACCCAAAGTAGCTATTTTTACCTACTTTTTGCATTACTTGCATTTTGTGGCCAAACGGCCGAATGGCGCAACATGATGTCAGAGTGCCAAATTTCTTGATACAGTCATACTGATGATGAATACAAAAAAAATTTGGCCAAAAAATGATTACGTTGTAAATTAACAATTTCGCATTAATTACTATGCAAAATTGTTAATTTATGAAGTAATCATTTTTTGGACAAAATTTTGTTGTATTCATCATCAGTGTGACTGTATCAAGAAATTCCCATGTAATGGACTTGGTGGGATATTTGGACTGATGCCATCCTCAATGTTGACATCTCAAAATTGCCCCTACCATTTTTTTTTCAATATTTTAAATTTTTTCTTTTTTTTTTTAAGGAAAATGCAGATTGTTTGTATTATTTTCAAAGTTAAGGTTTTATCATTTTCTTAAGACACATCAAGATTGAACATTTTTATAGCAATTATTAAACCTGTCTTACTCTAGCTTCCTGTGTATAATGAAAAAAAATCAGTAAATTTCTAAGTCTGTGATTTTTCTAATGATTATCAATGTGTAATCAATGTGTAAAATAATTCGATCAAAAAAAAAAAGATTACCTACCTACCTACCCATCCTGAAAAATGGGTCAAAGTACATCAAGCAATTTTTTTTAGTGATGGCCAAAATATGTAATACACAATTTCATGGTTTCTGTATCATGATATAGTACAATTTTTTGTGTATTGCTGTGTAGAGGTATATGGTTACACATCTATTGTTTATTTTACTGAGTCAAGCCAAATTTTTAAACTTTTCTCAAAATTCACATTCAATTAAAGAAGTCTCTGAAACACTTTACTGAAAGTTTTGTTCTATTCCTAGTGTTATTAGAGTCCTTTTTGTTCAGTAAATTGTATATTTACCTCTCACCGGGAATGTGGGAACTACTAGCTGCAGACACCTTTACTTTTTACTCTGCTTAGTAGGTATTCTCAGCCAAGAATGATAACACCAATAGGAAAACGTGAGAGGGTTCCCAACGGGTGGGATGTGATTTTTCGACATTGAATTTCTGAAGTTTTATTTTCCCCATCTCATGAATATCCAGATCAATCAGATGATGCATTTTATAGAATTATTATAATGAGGTACATGTATAACATTATTATTCGCAGCTTGTTGGATCTGAGGGTATTGGTAAACATGACTTGGGGAAGTGTTTGATCAAGAATTCCTGGTTCTACCTGCAAGTGTGAGTATGTCTGAATATTTCTATGTTATGGAATATAAATAGTAGAGTATGTTATACTAGAATACCTGTTTTTTTAATGATGTCATGCAATATTTTAACACCAAAAATTAATTAAGTATAATATAACAATTCACAGATACAAAAAAGTGATTTAAGTATTTGCATTTATTTGATTTAAGAATTTTTGCTGTCCTAATTGTTTGCTTTATCAATATTTTACTGTGCAGGTTTTGCAGGTAAATTAAAATAATATGTATAGGTTGATAGAACTTGTGCAGTTGATGTACATTCATGTATAAAATAAACTGATTCAGAAGCCAATACATTATTCCTAAAATATTTATTTTCAAATTGAGAGAGAATAAACATGAAGCTACTATAAACCGACTTTTATTTGCGTACAAGAAATATCCACAACTTTCCTGATGTTTACTAGCGAATATTACTTGCTGCAAACTATTTATTACATTGTACATTTGTGTAGAATATTTTCTCAGTCTTGAAAATCAGTAAATGCGGATATTTTTCAACTGACAAATTGCAAATAAAAGTTTTGCAAATAATGCTTAGTTTACAGTACATGTATATATAAATGATTGAACAAGAATCTGCTACTAATGGTAGTAGAGTCTTCTCGGTAACTGTGTATTATTTACTTTCAGAAGGACAGCTATCACTCTCCCTTTACCGGTGACCTCGGACAATTCTCGTCCCAGGATAGACTACATCTGCTTCCTGATTGATCTCACCAGCAGAGACAGGTAAGAACAACTATCAGGCTGTTACTGTGTTACATTAAAAGGGTTTTTGTGGTTTTCTAAAAATCTAATTATATATATACATGTATTACTGTAAACCAACTTATATTCCCGAGCGAGAAATATCCACAAGTTTCGCAACCTTCTTTCATTCACAAATATTTCTGTTTGCGAACCAATTATTCACCTATATATTTATGTAGAATGTTGCCTCAGTCACAAACTATAATGGTCACAGTTGGATTCCAAACTGAAGTATCGCGAATAAAAGATGTCCCAAATAATAGTTGGTTTACAGTAATTACTGCTGAGTCATAAATTGTAATGCTGAGAATTTTAAGTGGTGAAGTTTAATCCAATACTCTCTTTACAGTCATTGTATTTTTAAAGAACATCATATATTTATTAATTAATTTAAAACAAAAGTACAGTAAAATTGCTGAAAACACACCACTGTTGAGTTCTTTTAGGGCTTTATTGTATATATATTTGTCCAAAAGTATTAAATGGTACTGAACATTGTAATTCACATGACCATTATGGCCCATATATAAACCTCTTGTTTGTAATTGAAATATGTTTACTCAAACTTGTATGTTATGAATAATTTAAGGAATATAATTTTAATGCATGTATTTTTTTTTAGCTTAAAAACAGTAGAGGAATCATTGAAGCATGTTGATGTTAGATATTTCCTAGGACAGTGCTGTTTTATTGCTTTAAAAGGTAAAAATTTAATGCATAGTCTCATTAGAATTTGAGTAATAATCAAATACAGGTAAAAGAGCAAAATTTTAAGCATCTTATAGTTATCTAGAGTTCAAAATGTTTGATAACTTTTTCAAGAAACTTAACACATTTGGTAAAAGTAAGAAAAATCCCATTTGTATATAAGTAATTTTTTACAAAGTAATGAAGCTGTTATCATTTTTATGTGGAAGTATTATGGTATGGTGTTCATGTCCGTCTGTCCCTCCGTCTGTCTGTTAGCTTTTTTGTATCCTGCTCATAAGTTAAATACTATGAGGCCTAGAATAATCAAACTTTGAAAGATGATACTTCTTGGGTAGAAGATGTGTCACACATTAAAAGTAGGTTGCTGTGACTTTTAATGAAGATGATATGACCAAATATGGAAAAATCCTGGCCAGCTCATAACTGGAAAACTATTATACCTACAATCATCAAATTTGGTCAATTAATGCATTTTAGGTAGAAGGTGAGTTGCATCCTGCTTAAAGGCCACAGTGACTTTTAATCAAGTTGAATTTAAAAAAAAAAAAACTATTTTTTTTAAGCTGCACAATCCTAACAGATGTAAGAGTGTTGTAATTATATTAAAAAAAATTAAAAATGTTAATTCAAGAAAAAAGCCCACTTTTTATGATATACTAAACAGCAATATATAAAATATATATACCGGTTATTTCTTTTGTGTCAATAATAAGAGAAATTCTACTTGTCCCATAGGTGTAATTATCAAGCAATGATGTTTCAAGGGACATTTTGATAAAGGACAAAATCTGTCAAATTAAAGATAAATTAATGAGTTTAAGTGTAAGAAGATTTCTGGTAGAACATCTCTGATCAGGCAGGTGCTATCTATATCTCTTAGGAATTGGGCAGAGAAATCTGGCTTGTTTATTGCAATTGATAGCATCTGTTCAAACTAAAATAGTTCTTCTTGGCTAGCCATTACTTTCAAAATTAACTTTATGTAAAGTTTTAAAATTAATTTGATATTGTATAATATAATATTTTCATTTTTATTTTGTATATCTCAACAACAAATTGCAGAGTGTCAAATCTCACTAAGATGACAGTTTTATAGTCTAAGAATAAACATAATGATTAGTGTTTTGATGTTTTATTACATTGTAGCATTAAAAAAATACAATAAACAAAGCTGCAGATGGAAAAACTCTTACACAACCACTTGAGAAATATATGATGTATTATTTGTTCTAATTAATAACTACACCATAGGAGATGCACATCAAACATTAGGAATGGAAAAATCATTGAAATCTTTGTACCAAGGATGACATGATTTTCTTCCTTGCTCCCTAATCTCTTTATGATGAATGAACAATATTTGACAGGCAGATCATACACATGGTGCACTTTATTTGTTTTCATTTTTGTTTTAAGTGAAGAATCCAGAGAAGAGAGCCATTTTTATTGAACAAATTATTCAGCTTTCAAAGCAGTATAAATCAGATGTTTTATACGGCTCATTTGAGGTAGGTTGTTCAGGAGTTATCTTTCTTTTAATGTGTAGATATGATTTACACAATTTCTTTCAAACATGTATACCCGGTATCATGTATATTTTGTACTTATGTAATGAAAAGACCGGCTGTGTACCTGTAATTTTATATAAATTAAGGAAAGCATGACAATAGACAGTCTTTAAGGGGTTTAACACTTTATTGTACAGACAATTTTACTCTTCACATTTATTAAAGATCATTATCATAAAAGTATTTGAGCAATATTCCATCAATGTTTAAAATTCCATATTATAAATGTAAAGTGTAAGAATGATTTAAGGAAGGAATTGCTGAAAGAATCACACATTACCAATGTTGCATGAATATTACTATATTATAAAAAAAATAATTTTTCTATGATAATTTATAGTATTAAGGGTTATTTTTATTATAAGGAATTGTTAAACTTCACATACATATTAATTATAATTCTTTGCAAGCAACTTGTGTAAATGTACTAAATATACTTTGTAGACAGAAGCAGAATCCATATTTCTTGCAGAACAGATTCTGAAATCTGTAGAAATTGCAGCAGGTATGCAGAAAAATGTGTCCCCCATGTTTATAGAAAGTACCCGTTTTGTGGGAACAGAAGAGGAGGGAGAGAACTGAGAAATCTGCTGGTGATGTTTTATTTATTCCTATTTGTTCTCCTGTCAGTTTAGTGAAAAGATAGTGAGATTGAAGACTAGTGTCCAACCCAAGTTACACTATTCACATTCAGTGTATTGCTATGGGACTGTGAAAAAGACAACACCATGCAATTACTTCACAAACTCAAGAGAAAATGTGCCGTTTTAATACAGATGAAGGCTATTGGTGATTTGCCAAAATCACGAAATAGTGTGTTGTTGTTTTTTTTGTGCCCCCGTATCGAAGATTCAGGGGTATATAGTTTTTGCCCTGTCCGTCCGTCTGTCTGTCTAGCTGTTTGTCCGCAAAAAATTTAACCTTGGCCATAACTTTTGATTGGTTGAAGCTATGGCTTTCATACATGTATTTTACATGTATATTTCTTGTGACAAGACCTTTCTTTGGGTACCACCATATTTGATCTTTTGACCTTGACCTTGGAGTTTGACCCAGTTTTGCAAAATTTTACCAAACTTTAACCTTGGCCACAACTTTTGAACGGTTGGTGCTAGTGCTTTCATACTACACAGGTGTAATCCTTTTGACAAGACCTTTCTTTGGATACCAACAACTTTGACCTTTGACCTTGGAGTTTTACCTACTTTTGGAAAACTCTAACCTTGGTCATAACTTTGAATGATTGGTGCTTCTGCTTTCATATTTCACCTGTGTATTTCTTGGGAGAAGGCATTTCCTTGGGCACCATTAATTTTGACCATTTGAACTTTATGTTTGACTTACTTTTTGAAAAAAAAATTTAACTTTTTCCATATCTATTCAATGGTTGCTGCTAGGGCTTTCATATTTCACAGGTTTATTCCTTTGGGTATCAACATAATTGATTTGCATTTGAGAAAGTTTAACCTTTGCTATAAGTTGCCATACGGGGGCATCAGTGTTTCACAAACACATCTTGTTTTATTTTATGCTCCACTGTGAACTGTAAATTACGTTTTATTTGTGAAACTTTATTGAGGGATAATTTTGCATGACTGTCTTGGAATTTGTTTTCATCAATAATAATTGAAAACAGTTGTATTTACATATCTACCAACTATGAGAAATACACATATAAGCATCATTTTATCATAAACATCTTCATCAAACTTCATAGGTCACTGGAAGGAGGAGCGGAACTCAAAATATTCTTCTTTTTTTTTTCTTGTGACCTTGACCTATTTTTCTTGATTTTGCATCTATCTCCTTTTCAGTAAAACCTTTTAAGACGTTTTCATTAAATTTTTATTTGGCACAGTCATTGGAGAATTATGTCTGAGCCTAAACTTTAAAGTTGACCTTTCTGTTTGTCTTCACCTCACATTTTTAGCTCTACTGGTCAGAGACCAGAAGAGCTTATGCGATAGTAAATTGTCTGTCATCCGTCCGTCCGTCTGTCTGTCTGTCCGTCTGTCTGTAAACAATTTTTCAAAACGCTACTCCTCCTACAGTTTTGGTCTGATTTCAATATAACTTGGCACACAAGTAGACTACACTAAGATACATAATTTAGTGCATCGGTTTTTGATTTCGATGAACAGTGTTGCCATGGTTACTAAAAATAGAAATTTCTGTGAAATTCCTTTAAAATGCTACTCCTCCTATAGTTTTAGTCTGATTTCAATATAACTTGGCACACAAGTAGACTACACTAAGATACATAATTTAGTGCATCGGTTTTTGATTTCATGAACGGTGTTGCCACAGTTACTAAAAATAGAAATTTCTATGAAATTCCTTTAAAACCATACTCTTCCTACAGTTTTGGTCTGATTTTAGTATAACTTGGCACACAAGTAGACTACACTAAGATACATAATTTAGTGCATCTGTTTTTGATTTTGATGAACGGTGTTGCCATGGTTACTAAAAATAGAAATTTCTGTTAAATACTTTCAAAACGTTACTCCTCCTACAGTTTTGGTCTGATTTCAATGTTACTTGGCACACAAGTAGACTACACTGAGATACATAACACAGGGGCATCAGTTTTCGATTTTGATGAACTGTGTTGCCATGGTTACTAAAAATAGAAATATCCATGAAATTCCTTTAAAATGCTACTCCTCCTACAGTTGGTCTGATTTTAATATAACTTGGCATACAAGTAGACTACACTAAGATACATAACTTAGTGCATCAGTTTTTGATTTTGATGAACGGTGTTGCCATGATTACTAAAAATAGAAATTTCTGTGAAATTCCTTTAAAACGCTACTCCTCCTACAGTTTTGGTCTGATTTTAATATACTTGGCATACAAGTAGACCACACTAAGATAAAATAATTTAATGCATCGGTTTTTGATTTCGATGAACGGTGTTGCCATGGTTATTAAAAATAGAAATTTCTGTGAAATTCCTTTAAAACCCTACTCCAGTTTTGGTCTAATTTCAATCTAATTTGGCACACAATTAGAATACAGTACGATACATATTATGTATTTCGGTTTTTGATTTTAGTGAATGGTATTGTCATGGTTACTAAAAATAGAAATTTCTGTAAAATACTTTCAAAACGTTACTCCTCCTACAGTTTTCGTGTGATTTCAATACAACTTGGCACAGAAGTAGACTACATTAAGATACATAATTCTATTTATTGTTGCATGTTGCAAAGTTTCAAATCCAAGTGCTACTTTTCCTTTGTTGTATGTACAGACCAGTAGAGCTACAGTCTCATCAGAGACTTCTGGTTGATTTTGTTAACTTGTTTTCTTGAATACTTTGAGGCATTCCTTCTTACAACTTCAATTGCATATGAGAACACTTCAACCATGTCAAAATTGTACTGACCTTGACCTTTTCATCAACAGTGAACTTACTTTTCCTTCATTTTTGCCTGTTTATTTTATACAAAAAACATTATTCTCAAGAACTAAAGGGTCAAAATAAAATGTCTTCATGCAGTGTAGATACAAATTTGATTTCATATAATTGCCCTTTGGACCAAGGGGATATTTTATGAGTAGAAAATTAATTGATAAAAGAACAGGTAACAAGACTCAGAAAAAATGCCTTGTGAGACTCAGGTGACTGTTATTGGCCTTTTTATTCAAATGTTATTTAGCCTAATTTAGTGAGGATGTTCAGTACATGTTGTTAATGCTGTTTGAAGCTACAGGTTACATATTTTGCTTGTTAAATGATTTTTACAATGATCTATTTTTGTAATGAATCACCTGTATTTTTTTAATGGTCAATAAGAACATATTTTCTGCTGTTCTATTATGTACAGAGTGAATCAAAGAACTAGTGCTTCTATAAGAAGAAAATATCTGATTTTTTCTCAATTTATTTGTGATAAAATCTCTTCCATAAATACATGATGAGAGATTTTCCTTTGTGGTCTTAAATATTTTATCAGTAGATGAGAGAAAATTAGACTTCAGCTTGTCAGCAATCCTTGAGGCAAACTTTGGTTCTGTTTTTTTATTAAGAGATAAGAAGTTTGTGGGAATAATCTTGTATAATATTATTGTTTCTATTTTAGTTTCTTACTGAGCCATAAGAATCCAAAGAAGTACATTTATGTCACACCATCCTCATGTCTTCATTTGAAATATCATTCTATTATAAAGTTTTACAACTGGGACTAAGTAGTAAATCTGCAGTGACCAAATACTATTACAGGAACTGTTGTGACTGTTGGTGTGAATACAAAGCAAAGAGATTCCAAATAAGGTTGATTCTTAGGTCTCCTCTTTCATGTTGTTTAACTGGTTTTAACATTTTGACCATTTTCAGCTTCTTTTCTGAAATGGCTATTCCAGTTTTAACCAATTTTGGTAAATACCGACATTTGCTATACCATATTAAAGGCAACACAAAACCAAATTTTAACATTACATGCAAAAAAAGTACATTTCTATTGATTTTGAAAATATAGAAACAGTTATTAATTGTGAAGGTAGAATTTTTTTTAAATTCAAGTGTCAATTTCATTTGCATTTTTCTTTTGTTCATTTTCTTTCTTAATTTCTAAGGTTGAAAATCTTTTAAAATTGTTACTAGATTCTATGTAAGGCATTAGATCATTAGGATATTATGTCCTTTGCTATGAGCAGCAGTTTAACCAATGAAATAAAAGAAATTTTCACTCTGTGCATTTTCTTCCAGGTTACTGACAAATACTTTGATGTTACAGGGAGTTTTACAATCTTAGTTAGCATTTTGCATACCTATCGTTGGTTCGTATTTTGTCTGACGTGTTTGTTTTGCAATGCAGGCCATAGTTTTTTTTTTTTTTTTTTTTTTTTTTTACAAAATTTGAGAAGAAAATTGACTACGGATTTTTGTCTACCTGATCAATATAGAGCTCACAGGGGCGTGTCACAGATCGATAGGTGAGGCTTCCTCCTCCTTGGCACCTGATTCCACCTGTAAAAGTTATGTAAATTTTGCATTTACCTCCACCTAGTAAATTCAAAATTTACAACCTAATACGTGCGTCAAATCAGTGCTCTCATCAACTAAAATGTAAAAGGTGAAGATGACCAACAGTTAATAAGAATCTTATAAATCCAGTAAAGAATACGCATCAATTGAATTAATGAGAGGAAATTACAAAATTACTGTCTTCAAATAGCTAAAGATATCTTCTCAGAGTAAAATTGAGTACGGATGTTCACTTCCTTATTTGCAAAAACTTGTAGGTTATTCGCCTATGTTTTTTTTTAAATTACATTCAACAATATTGGCCAAAGTAATCAAAATACTTGTGTAAATATATTTTGATATGTAAAAACATTTATTTTGTCGATGTGTGAAGTTCCATTTCATTTCATTTGATGGAAGTCATGTTACCACGGCGCACGCATAGCAGCATTGTAACGTCACAAACAACGTCAAGCACGTTTCTCAAAATTACTCTGTCTTTTCATTTCATGCGTGCACGGTTTGTAGCGTCTTTCCCATTTACAAAAACGTATCCATAACACTTGACACCTAGTTTGCTAACAATTGTTCTAGTAACGTGAGTTAGTTTCTCTGTGTTTTTAAATTCTTTACTGCCTAGCTCTGCTTTCATAAGGTCCGCAACAGTAAAACACACTTTACTTTCCATGACATTAACTCTTCTGATCACTTTTTAAATACTGTATACAGGGTTATTTTCGCCCTTTCACACTTGCAAACAATTTTGCCCCGTCTTAAATTCGCCCACTTGTGTCTAGGGCGAAAGGGGCGAAAATAAAACGGGGGCGAAAATTTCCCTGTATACAGTATTA